GGGCGGCACAACCAGGCGCCTACCTTAGCGCCTTATCACTCTTCACCAGGGACGTTCGAGTTCATGCTGCCCCATGCTCAACCGACAGCAGCTGCATCACAACACATACCAAACGAAATATTAAGTCTCCAGGCGCAGTTTTCACATGTGATCAAACTGCAGACACCTTCACCGTTCAACGGGCCTAACTTCTTTACCTGGAGCTTTGAGTTCGAGCTGCTGATGGAGGCCGCGCATCTCTTGGGATACTTCAACAGGTCCATGGCATTTCCAAGCAATGGCACTACAAAAGAGCAGGAAATCTTCACCTATCAGTCGCTGCTGGCATACACAGTTCTCCTGCGAAACCTGTCACCACAAGAGCAACAGAGCATCAGAACGTATCGGAGCTACGGAAACTCCGTGGAGCTTGCCTGGCATCATCTGAAATGTCTCTATCAAGCAAACGACAGTGTGACACAAAGCAGACTCGTGCACCAGTTGGCAACAATACAAATGAAGACCGGGGAAAAGGCGATGCAGTATATGAGTCGCTGCCAAACACTTCGCGACCGCCTGCTTCGGTGCGGAGGCACAATCACTGAAGAAAGCTTCGTGACACTTGTTCTCGCCGGGCTCGGACCACAATGCAGAACCACCCGCTCGCTTCTTCGAGCCCACGGACGAATTTTCGAGATGCGCCTCTGCGCCGAGCTTCATGCTGAACAACAGGAGATGGACCTATTTGAAGAACGACAACCACAAAGCAAGCAGCAATCATTAGACTTCTACACTCAAAGAAACAACAACAACCACAACCAACGCGACAAGCAGAACCGACACGATACCAGAGGCCTCACCATCGTGCCGTCGTTCTGCCACAACTGTCAGACATCCGGGCACTCCAAGGTCAACTGCACACGCCCTCGAGTTTATCGTCCAGCTGACCCGCAAGCCGCCTCCACTCAAGCAAATCCACCAAGTCGTTCCTCTATACCTGCACAAGGCGCACCAAGTATAATTAATTGCATGGTATGAATAGACAGCTACACACCCGGGTCACCACGCACTTACGCTCCAGACAAAGAAGAGCTCCCGCCGCCGCGCTCACAAGGCCTTCAAGTCAACCCCACGTATGCTGCAGTCGCCAACGACGAACCCACCGGGCGAAACACCTGGTTCTTGGACAGCTGCTGCGGTCAACACATGTGTTCCTCGGGGCGCTTCGTGCAACGAGAGCGAGGCCTCAACAGCGATGTCGTCATCACCATCGCCAACAATGAGAATCTGAAGACAAACAGACAAGGAGTCGTTCAGCTTCAGTCAATGGAGACAAACGTCATACTGCAACGCAACAAAGTTCTCATCGTCAACAATTTGGGATACAATTTATTAAGTGTCAGCCAGTTAATGGCAAAAGGAATTCACCTGGAATGCGACTCGGACGCTAACGGGTTTCGACTTTATCACGAGAAGGATGGCCTCTTCATCGGTCGCGCTCTCCTGAAGTCGGGCGTCTTTGTGCTGGACTTCGTCCCCAACCGCGGTACTGCCAACAGCGACGACATCGTGTCGTTTGCCGCCTGGACGCACCCGCCCGATCTTGACCCCGACTTTAGTCCAGGCGGGTTCTGGTACTCCAACACCATCCCTGCAGCAGAGAGAACACGAGCATTAGCAGTCATTCGACAAGAACGACAAGTACCAGCAAGTATCCCTTCCGCAACATCACCTGTAGTAGCAGCAGCAGGACCCAGCCGTGCGCCATCACCAGCAATCCAAGGACCACCAACCGAAGCAGATCAGCTCATGCCCATCACCCGAGGAGTCTGCCGCAGTCCCGCTACGGACGTCGCGTTCTTCTCCAACGCCGACCTGTACCGGCGTTCACCCGGCCATCGCGCTCCCGACGACATCTGTCATCAACGCCTCAGACACCCTGCAAATAGCACAATTCTTCAAACCATACAAGCCGGAGTATTAGAAAAAGACGCTCTCCTCACACCGAGCAGCCAGGAGCTTCGACGACCCCACGCACGATGCTTCACGTGCCCCGAAGCTGATCTTCCCCATCAACCCTTGCCGTCGCACCACAATCCAAGCGCACATGCATACGCACCGATGGAAAAAGTTTCAGCGACATTTTGAATATGCCTCGAGACGACAGTGAAGCAGAGTACAATTATGTTATCACGTTCATCGACGCAGCAACACGATACGTCTAGCACTTAAATCTCAAGACTCGTGACCAAGCGTTCGAAGCTTTCACGACGTGGCTCCCCATCGCTGAACGAGAATCGGGCTCCCAACTCAAAAGTTTCCAGTCCGACGGGGCACTGGAGTATCAGTCACACAGGTTCAGGAGCTACTTGGCCGAAAGAGGCATCAAACGCCTGGTGTCCCTGCCCCACGCTCACCAGCAGCAGGGGGTCGCAGAGAGGATGAATCGCACCTTGCAGACAACGATGCGGAAGCTGCTCCTGGGGATGGGACTGCCCAACACCCTTTGGCCTGACGCGATGACGCATGCAGTCCATCTCCACAACTTGCTGTCCTCGTCAACACTTCCCAACAGCACATCACCGCACCTGCTGTGGACAGGAAAACTGGGCAGCACAAAATTACTTCGAGTTTTCGGCTGCATGGTACAGTACAGACCCCACACAACTCGAGCAGGACGATTTTCTCAACAAGCACGGTGGGGACTACACCTCGGCATCGCAAAACATTTTCACGCATGGAAACTTCTCGACATCCATGACAAAAACATCGTGGCCTCACGTGATGTGATTTTCTATGAGAGACTGAAGTTGCAACATTACCTGGACAATGTTGCCAACACTGCAGACCCCACCGACGGCTTCGAGGGCCACCGGTCCTTCGCCGACCATGCTGCCGAAGCTGACGCAGCAGAAGAAGACGTACATGAAGCCTCGGAAGCTGCCGGACCACTCCCTTACTGCTCCGTGCCCGTTCCACTCAACGACGACAATCCTCTCGATAGTAACAACCTCGACACCTACTACCACTTCGCTGACTAGGGCTACACTACACCTCAAACGGTTAACACAAATGTCTCTGAACGCATCGGACCGAATTTCTTACCTGAACCCTAAGATGGCGACGAAGCAGCTTATCTCGGGAATGAAAATTCCCCTCGACACACACCCACGGGCTTGCAGATACTTGGACTATGGGTCGCCGTCAAGAGCCCGCCGCCGACGTCGCCGCGCGAGCCAGCGACTCTATCCCATGCTCTGGGGGGGGAACACAAGGCGAAATGGAAGGAAGCAATGGAAAAAGAACTGAAAGCCCTGCAAGACCAAAACACGTGGAAACTAGTACCTGCAACAAAGACCAACTGGAAGAATATGCTCTCGGGGAAGTGGGTGTACCGAATCAAGACTAATGCGGATGGCTCCATCGACCGCTTCAAGGCTCGCTGGGTCGTACGTGGATTCGATCAGTGATACGAAACCGACTACACGGAGACATTCGCCCCAGTCTCCCGACATACCTCCCTGCGCATTCTGCTCGCCGTCGCGGCCACGAAAAAGTTACCACTGCGGCAGATCGACGTCGCGAACGCTTTCTTGTACGCACTTGTGGACGCCGAGATCTACGTTGAGCAGCCCCACGACTTCATCGACGATCCTACAAAAGTGTGCCAGCTGATAAAATCTCTCTACGGAATCAAACAAGCCCCGCGGCTTTGGCAGCAGCATCCTCACGGCCGCCTCGTCAGGATCGGCTTCCTGCAGCTGCCGCACGACCAAGGGATGTACCGACTGCAGAAGGGGGGCGACTTTGTCCTACTCATCGTCTACGTCGATGACCTGCTCTACGTTGGCTCCACTATCGACGTCGTCACCTGGTTCGAAGGGGAGCTGAAGAGTGATTTAACACTCACGGTGTCAGACACCGTCATCCAGTACCTAGGCCTGAACGTCGTCGAAGACGATTCGGCGTTCTACCTACACGCCGGAAAGTACGCAGGCGTCGTCGCGAAGAAATTTGGACTAACATCGGTCGCAGTCACGACTCCCTATCGCTACAGGAACGACAACAGCGACACCTCCGCAAAGCTCCCCACTAAGCAGATTCAGAAATACCAACAGAAGCTCGGTTGTCTCCTGTTCGCAGCCGTAACTTTCTGACCGGATCTGTCCTACAGCGCTAGTCAACTGGCGACTCACCTGAAGCAACCGGAGCAAGAGCACCTCGATGAGCTGAATCGGGCACTGCTCTACTTCGTCTCTACGCCAACGACCGGACTCACCTAGAGCAAGGTGACATCGTCGTCCGTACAACTACTCGGCTATGTCGACGCTGACAACGCAGGAGACAAGGGGAATCGGCGTTCCAGAACGGGCTACATCTACCGACTAGAGCCTATCGGGGCTATTTCCTGGCAGTCGAGCTAGTAGGAACTAATCGCACTATCTTCGGCTGAAGCGAAATACATCGCTCTCTGCACTGCGACCAAAGAGGGACTTTACCTGCGGGAGCTGCTCGAGGAAGCGAAAATTGCGACCATGCCCGCCGTCTCGTTATTCTGCGACAACCAATCCGCGATCAAAATCGCGAACAAAAACGGGTTCGCCAATCGAACCAAGCACATCGCCCTGCGGTATTTCTTCGTCAAGGATGAAATCGCGAAGGGGAGACTTCAACTCAGTTACTGCCCCACGACAGAAATGGCTGCAGATTACCTCACGAAGAAACTGGCGAAGGCAAAGTTCGATTACTGCATGCTGCTGACCGGGCAAATAAACGTCACCGAATCTGGACACGTCAGCACTCCAGAAACGAAGGGGAGTGTTGGAAATACCTCAAAGACTTGAGCGTTTCTGAAGTGTAACACCACACTCGAGGAAAATCGTATCGGATACTCGAGTCAACGAAGATTACACGAGGAGGTTGGACGAAAGAATACGAAAGGGCGAAGGGACTCAAAGGGTCACAACCGGAGGTTGCGATTGACCGTTGCGACTGCAAGGATGATAACTGTTGGGCTGAGAAAAGCCCTTAGGATCTTTTCCAGAGACTAAGTCCCAGCTGTAAAGACTTGAGACTTTGAGTAGTGCAGCGGAAGTTTGAGACAGTTGAACCCTTGTACTAGTATGTGAGAACAAGTGATTGATTAAAGAAACAAGCATACAGCAATATATAGAAGATAAGAAAGCAGTTGTAGAGTACAGTTACAGGAACGGTTTATCGAGTCGCACAGCGACTCGACTGCCGCTTCGGTTACCATCCGTGATGTTGTAACGGTCAGTCGCAACCTCCAGTTGCGACCTTTCGAGTCTTTTCGCATTCTTTGTCCGCCCCCCTCATGTAACCTCCGTTGACTCGCGTGCTCCCTTGTAGTCTTCCTCGAGTGCAGTGTTACACTTCAGAAACGCTCAAGTCCTTTGAGATATTTCCAACACTCCCCTTCGTTTCTGGAGTGTTGACGTGTTCGGGTCCGGTGACGTTTGTTTGCCCGGTCAGGAACATGCAGTAGTCGAATTTTGCTTTCGCCAATTTCTTCGTCAGATAATCTGCGGCCATTTCTGTCGTCGGGCAGTAACTGAGTTGAAGTCTCCCCTTCGCGATTTCATCCTTGACGAAGAAGTACCGCAGGGCGATGTGCTTGGTTCGGTTGGCGAAGCCGTCCTTGTTCGCGATTTTGATCGCAGATTGGTTGTCGCAGAGGAGTGAGAAGGCGGGCAGGGTCGCAATCTTCGCTTCCTCGAGTAACTCCCGTAGGTAGAGTCCTTCCTTGGTCGCAGTACAAAGGGCGATATACTCTGCTTCAGCCGAGGATAGTGCGATTAACTCCTGCTTGCTCGACTGCCAGGAGATAGTTCCGATGGGTTCTAGTCGGTAGATATAGCCCGTCCTAGATCGTCGATTTTCCCTATCTCCCGCGTGGTCGGCGTCGACGTATCCGAGTAGTTGTACGGACGGTGTTGTCGCTTTGCTGTAGGTAAGTCCGATCGTCGGCGTGGAGACGAAGTAGAGTAGTGCCCGGTTGAGCTCCTCGAGATCCTCCTGTTCCGGTTGCTTCAGATGCGTCGCCAGTTGACTTGCACTATAGGACAGGTCGGGTCGGCAGGTTACTGCTGCAAATAGTAGGCAGCCGAGCTTCTGTTGATACTCCTGGATTTGCTTCGCGGGGAGTTTTGCGGAGGCGCTGTTGTTGTTCCCGTAGCGGTAGGGAGTTGGGACCGCAGTCGGTGTTAGACCGAATTTCTTCGCGACGGTGCCAGAGTACTTTCCGGCGTGTAGGTAGAACGCCGTGTCGTCTTCGTCGACATTCAGTCCTAGGTACTGAGTCACTTCGTCGGACACCGTAAGCGTTAAGTCCTCTTTCAACTCCCCTTCGAACCAGGTGGCGATGTTGGTAGTGGAGCCGATGTAGAGCAGGTCGTCGACGTAGACGATGAGTAGGACATACTCGCTCCCCTTCTGCAGTCGGTACATCCCTTGGTCATGCGGCAGTTGTAGGAATCCGATTTTTGCGAGACGGCCGTGAAGGTGCTGCTGCCAGAGCCGCGGGGCTTGCTTGATCCCGTATAGGGATTTTGTCAGTCGGCATACTTTCGTGGGGTCGTCGATGAATCCGTGGGGTTGTTCGACGAAGATCTCAGCATCCACAGATGCGTATAGGAATGCGTTGGCGACGTCGATTTGGCGTAGTGGTAGTGTCTTCGTGGCCGCGACGGCGAGTAGGATGCGTAATGAGGTGTGACGGGAGACTGGAGCGAAGGTTTCTGTGTAGTCAGTTCCATATCGTTGATCGAAGCCTCGTACGACCCATCGAGCTTTGAATCGTTCGATGGAGCCGTCTGAGTTGGTCTTGATGCGGTACACCCATTTCCCCGAGAGGACGTTCTTCCCGTTGATGCTTGTTGCAGGTACCAGTTTCCATGTTTCTCGGTCTTGCAGAGCCTTTAACTCTTTTTCCATCGCTTCTTTCCATTTTGCCTTATGTTCCCCCCCCAGAGCCTGCGACAAGGTAGAAGGCTCACGTGGAGAAGGCGGCGGCGGATGCTGGACGGAGACCCAGAGGCCTAGGATCTGCAGTCCCGTGGGAGTGTGTCGAGGGGAATTTTCATTCCCGGAATAAGCTGCTTCGTCACCGTCTTCTGGGTCAGGTAAGAAGTTGGGACCGATGCGTTCTGAAACATTTGTGTCGACTGGGTGGGGTGTAATGTAACCTTGGTCAGCGAAGTGGTAAAAGGTATCGAGGTTGTTGCTATCGAGAGGATTGTCTTCGTCGAGTGGAACAGGTACGGAACAGAATGGGAGTGGTCCGGCAGCTTCCGAGGCTCCAGGTACGTCTTCTTCTGCTGCGTCAGCTTCGGCAGCATGGTCGGCGAAGGAACGAAGTCCCGAGAAGCCGTCGGTGGGGTCTTGTGTGTTGGCAATGTTGTCCAGGTAATGCTGCAGCGTCAGTCTCTCGTAGAAGATAACATCACGTGATGCCACCGTGTTTTTGTCTTGTATGTCGAGAATTTTCCACGCGTGAAAATGTTTGGCGATGCCGAGGTGTAGTCCCCACCGAGCTCGTTGTGTGAAGCGTCCTGCTCGGGCTGTGTGGGGTCTGTACTGTACCATGCAGCCGAAAACTCGGAGTAATTTTGTGCTGCCCCTTTTTCTTGTCCACAGCAGGTGCGGTGATGCGTTGTTGGGAAGCGATGACGAGGACAACAGGTTGTGCAGGTGAACGGCATGCGTCATCGCGTCTGGCCACAGTGTGGTGGGCAGCCTCATCCCCAGAAGCAGTTTTCGCATCGTCGTCTGCAAGGTCCGATTCATGCGTTCTGCGACCCCCTGCTGTTGGTGAGCGTAGGGCAGGGACACCAAGCGTCTGATTCCTCGTTCCGCCAGATAGGTCCTGAAGCGTTGTGACTGGTATTCCAGTGCACCGTCTGACTGGAAGCTCTTGAGTGTGAGTCCTGATTCTCGTTCGGCGATGGGAAGCCATGTTGTGAAGGCTTCGAAAGCTTGATCGCGCGTCTTGAGATTGAAGTGCCAAACGTATCTGGTTGCTGCGTCGATGAACGTGATGACGTAGTTGAAGTCGACTTCGGTGTCTTCTCGAGGCATGTTTAAAATATCGCTGTAGACCTTTTCCATCGGAGCGTAAGTAGGTGCGCTTGGGTTGTGATGAGATGGGAAAGGTTGATGAGGAAGATCTGCTTCGGGGCACGTGAAGCACCGTGCTCGTGGTCGTCGAAGTTCTTGGCCGCTCGTCGTTAGAAGGGCGTTGCGTTCTAACACCTCTGCTTGGATTGTTTGTAGTATCGTGCTGTTTGCAGGATGTCCGAGACGTTGGTGCCAGATGTCGTCGGAAGCGCGATGACCAGGCGAGCGGTGGTAGATGTCGGCGTTGGAGAAGAACGCGACGACTGAGGCGGGACTTCGACAAACTTCTCGTGTGATGGGCATAAGCTGGTCTGCTTCGGTTGGCGGTCCTCGGGTCGCTGGTGGTGGGACTCGGCTGGGTCCTGCTGCCGATACTGCAGGTGATGGTTTGGTTGGGATACTTGCGGGTACTTGTCTTTCTTGTCTGATAACTGCTAATGCTCGTGTTCTCTCTGCTGCAGGTATGGTGTTGGAGTGCCAGAAGCCGTCACTGTCGAAGTCGGGATCAAGATCCGGCGGGTGAGTCCAGGCGGCGAACGATACGATACCGTCGCTGTCGGCAGTACCGCGGTCGGGGACGAAGTCCAACACGAAGACGCCGGACTTCAAGAGGGCACGACCGATGAAGAGTCCGCCCTTCCCGTGGTAAAGCCGAAACTCGTTGGAGTAAGAGTCGCACTCCAGGTGAATCCCCTTGGCCATTAGTTGGCTTACGCTTAGTAGGTTGTATCCCAGGTTGTCGACAATGAGCACTTTGTTGAGCTGAAGTATGACGTTTGTCTCCATGGATTGTAACTGAACCACGCCTTGTCTGTTTGTCTTCAGGTTTTCGTTGTTGGCGACGGTGATGACGACGTCGCGGTTGAGGCGTTTCTCCTGTTGCATGAAGCGTCCCGAGGAGCACATGTGTTGACCGCAGCAGCTGTCCAAGAACCAGGTGTTTCGCCCGGTGGGTTCGGCGTTGGCGACCGCAGCGTATGTCGGGTTAACTTGAAGTCCCTGTGAGCGCGGCGGCGGTAGCTCTTCTTCGTCTGGCGCGTAGGTAGGTGGTGATCCGGGTGCGCAGTTGTCGATGTGTACCATGCAATTGATAATGTTTGGTGTTTGTTGTGCAGATGTTGAAGAGCGCCTTGGGGGACTTGCTTGGGTGGAAGCGACTTGTGGGTCTGCTGATCGGTAAACGCGTGGGCGGTTGCAGTTGACCTTGGAGTGCCCGGAGGTCTGACAGTTGTGGCAGAACGGCGGCACGAAGGTGAGTCCTCTGTTGTCGCGTTGATCCTGCTTGCCGCGTCGATTGTAGTTATTGTCGTTCCTTCGTTGAGTGTAGAAAACTAACTGCTGCTGCTTTCTTGGTTGTCTTTCTTCGAACAGGTCCATCTCTTGTTGTTCAGCGTGAAGCTCGGCGCAGAGGTGCATCTCCGAGATTCTTCCGTGGGCGCGAAGTAGCGAGCGTGTGGTTCTCCATTCTGGCCCGAGCCCTGCGAGGACAAGTGTCACGAAGCTCTCTTCAGTGATTGTCCCTCCGCACCGAAGCAGGCGGTCGCGGAGGGTGTGGCAGCGACTCATATACTGCATCGCCTTTTCCCCGGTCTTCATCTGAATTGTTGTCAGTTGTTGCATGAGTCTGCTTTGTGTCACGCTGTCGTTTGCTTGGTAAAGGCACTTGAGATGGTGCCATGCGAGCTCCGCGGAGTTTCCATAGCTCCTGTATGTTTTGATGCTCTGCTGTTCTTGTGGTGACAGGTTTCTCAGGAGAACCGTATACGCCAGCAGCGACTGATACGTGAAGATTTCTTGTTCCTTTCCAGTGCCGTTGCTTGGGAATGGCAGGGACCCGTTGAAGTATCCCAGAAGATGCGCGGCCTCCATCAGCAGCTCGAACTCGAAGCTCCAGGTAAAGAAGTCGTGTCCGTTGAACGGTGAGGATGTCTGTAGCTTGATGACGTGTGAAAATTGCGCCTGGAGACTTAGAATCTCGTTTGGCGTTTGTTGTGATGCAGCTGCTGTTGGTTGGGCACGGGGCGGCATAAACTCGAACGTCCCCGGTGAAGAGTGATAAGGCGCAAAGGTAGGCGCTTGATTGTGTCGCCCAAACGATGAGTTGTCAAGGCTCATCGGTGCTAATCCCATGTTTCCTCCATTGCTCTGTGTCGAATGCGCAGGTGTCCTTGTCTGCTGCTGCTGTTCGAAATGCGACATGAAGCTGAAGAATCTTTCCATAAGGTTGGGGTCCACGCTTGAAGAGGGAGATGGAGTTACCATCTCTGGTACCCTTGCTGTTGTTTCTTGAGCAGTCCCGGTCTCTGTCTGCAGTCCTGAGGTGTGGAGACCAGAGTTGCCGTGTTGAGTTTCTTGGCCGCTGGGTGAGCCCGTAGAGACTTTCTTGCCCTTGCTGTCCATGTCTTGTAATCAATGAAGTTGTTGAATTTGAGCTAAGTTGCAGCTTTGTTGATGAAGCGCAGTTGCTGGGAGTTTGGTCTCTGACCAGCTCTCATACCATGTTGGGCTGAGAAAAGCCCTTAGGATCTTTTCCAGAGACTAAGTCCCAGCTGTAAAGACTTGAGACTTTGAGTAGTGCAGCGGAAGTTTGAGACAGTTGAACCCTTGTACTAGTATGTGAGAACAAGTGATTGATTAAAGAAACAAGCATACAGCAATATATAGAAGATAAGAAAGCAGTTGTAGAGTACAGTTACAGGAACGGTTTATCGAGTCGCACAGCGACTCGACTGCCGCTTCGGTTACCATCCGTGATGTTGTAACGGTCAGTCGCAACCTCCAGTTGCGACCTTTCGAGTCTTTTCGCATTCTTTGTCCGCCCCCCTCATGTAACCTCCGTTGACTCGCGTGCTCCCTTGTAGTCTTCCTCGAGTGCAGTGTTACACTTCAGAAACGCTCAAGTCCTTTGAGATATTTCCAACAATAACCGAACAGACAATCAAGTCGCAGTGCGATTCGATAACTGTTTCTTCTACTGTATTCTACAAATGCTTCATTTCTTATTTTCTATATATTGTTGTATGCTTGTTTCTTTTAATTAAACACTTGCTCTCACATACTAGTGCAAGGGTTCAACTACTCAACACTTCCGCTGCACTACTCAAGCGTTTTGTACAAGTGGGACTTAGTCTCTGAAAAGGTCCTAAGGCTTTTTCTCAGCCCAAGAAGCTGGATGTGATTGGGCAAGACTACCGTAGGAAGAAAAGGTGGTTGTGCAACTCTCGGTTTTTGAATCAAATTGCCCACCGTTTCAAAGCTGGTTGAGATAATCTCTCCGAGTGAATAGTGCACTGTAGTTTTCTATTTAACCACTCTATAGCGAGTATTTGGACTTCAGCCCATCATCGATCACCCCTTGTGTCAACCACCCGGCAGCAAGTCCATGCCAAAGCCCTTGGCCCAGTTTGTTCCCACTCGCCGTTTGATGTCATGTCCCTCACTTAGCTAGGAGTCGGCATTTCCTGGCTCGTTTCTCCAAATCAGCACAGCGCGCCCATTCGCTGCACTCACTCACCTAATTCGCGCATTCCCCCCGGGTCGCGCGCCGTCTAAGCTCAGGCATTGGTCCGCTTCTCAGCTGTTGTCTCTTTCGTATCATCGTTTGGCGCGTTAGATCGACGCACTATTCCGCCCTCGCATTCGTCCGCGCGTCGCCGCTGTCGCCATAGCCTTCCACCGGCCTGACTAACTTATTCGCGTTTCGCTACTTCGCGTGGCCTAGGGTGCGCCTGTCGCCGCCCGCCGACCACCCCGGTGCCTGCGCTCAGGTGCGACGCCAAGGGTTACGGCACTCGTAGATCCGCTCGTGCCGATATCGTCAGGTTACCCTAGCATCCCTCGTCGCTCGATCTTTCGCCAATGTCCCCGTCTGGAGATTGCTTTCTCTCGTTCTCCCCCCCCCCCCCCCCCCCCCCCCCCCCCCCATCTTCGTCGCGCTTTCGCCCATCACATTCGCCCCCTCCCTCCGCACCCCGAGTCCATCGCTTCTCTCTCTTTTTGGCCCATTCCGCATTTCCCGCCACTCTCCCCTTCCCCAGCCCGCCATGGCCCCGCGGCCGAAGAAGAAGGCCATCGTGCGCGCATCCGATCGCGCCAGCAGCGCTTCCGCGGACTCGCACTCCGCGCACTACCACAGCGAGCGCGCGCGCTGGATGCGCGCGCTGCTGCTGATCGGCGGGGCGGGGCTTCTCGGTTACTTCCTCGTCGCGCGCTCCGACTACTCCGCGCAATACCACCGCGGGGGACCCATGGGCTCATGGCGCGGGGGCGGCGCAGGCGGAATGGACGAGCGCTGGATGGTCGGAGAGGACCAGTGGAGCGCGCGCGGGGGCGGAATGGGGCGAGGGGAGTGGGGAGGCGCGGGGGGGCAGTTTGGGGACCGGCGCGGGTTTGAAGGCGCGGGGGGCGGGTGGCAGGGCGCGGGCGGGGGGGAGTGGCGGAATGGCGGCGGAGGGCCGCGGCAGCTGGCAGGCGGGGATAGGCTGGGGGGGCCACAAGAGGGGGGATGGGGGCAACAAGGGGGTGCGGGAGGGTGGGACGCGGGGAGAGGGGGGAACGGGTTTCCCCAACAGGGGGGCGGATGGGGGGCGGGCGGGGGGATTCAAATGCCAGGCGGGGCGGGGGCGGGGGGAATGGGCGGGGGCGGTGGTGGAATAGATACCGGGGCAGGGGGTTGGGGCGGACTGAGGGGGGGAGCAGCGGGGGGGATGGCGCAACAGCAGCAGGTAATACAGCAGGCACAGCAGATGCCTCTCCCCGTGCAGCAGGGTGTGGCAGCAGGGGGCGGGGGAGGCAACAGTTGGAGCAGCGGTGCTGACAGCAGGGCCACCCCCCTCAGCCAGTCGCAGTGGGGCGCGGACCCCACCACGGCGGGAGCAGGCGCAGCAGCAGGCACAGGAGCAGGCTCAGCGGTAACCACCGCCTTTCCCGGGCCGCACCCCCACTGGGCGCCAGTAAACGGTCAATTCCCCCTGGAGGGCGGCACGCCCCAGCGGTCGTACCTGACAGTGGACATCTCGCGCGCGCTGCTGGCGCACGTGCACCTCGACGCCGTGCGCTTCTCCGAGGAGGCCAAGCCCAAGCCCAAGGGCGCGCCGCCCCCCCGCGCCTCCCGTGGGCCCGCGTGCCCGGACTTTGAGTTTGCGTACGAGCGGTTCCCGGGGGTGGGGTCGTGCTGGGAGGAGCCCCTGGCGGACACCAGCCGCGTGCCCACGCGCTACCCCGTCAACTGCCCCAGCCTGGACGAGAGCTGCATCCAGGAGACGGACTTCCAGCCGCACAGCAAGTGGGCCGCGCAGGTGGGTGGGAGGGGGGAATTGGGGGGGGGTTGAAGGGGGGGGTACGGGCGGGCGGAGAGAGGGGGGGGATGAAAGTCGGACAGAGAGGGGCTTCCAGCCGCACAGCAAGTGGGCTGCAAAGGTGGGTGGGAGGGTAAAGGGGGGATGTGCGGGTTGGGGGGGGTGAGGGTTGGGTGGAGGCGCAGTGGCGAATGGGCCTGTAGGATAGGCGCATCCAGAGCCGGACTTGTAGCTGCTCACCTCGTGGGCTGTGGGCTGTGGGCTGTGGGCTGTGGGCTGCGCTGATGGGTGGCACGGGGGAGGAGAAGCAAGGGGAGATGGGGAGAGAGGGAGGCAGGGGTGGGGAGCGAGGGATGGGGTTTGTTGAAGGCATCCTGTTGAACCTTGTTGGAGCCTGCTTCGATCAAAGCTGCTTTCAGACGACGGCCATACAGCAGCCATGTAGAAAGGATGTGCGGGTGAGGCTGTGAGGTGAGACGCGGAACGGAGGAGGGGAGGGAGGGATGGGGAAAGGGAGAGAGGAGTGGGGCGACTTTTGAGTGGACTGAGAGGTCCACTCCACCTGCTGCTGCTACTTCATTCCGTTCCCCGCACCTCACCTCACTCCGTGGGCTCATTCCTCCTCCCTGCCTCAACGATTCTCCCTGGATGCGGGCCAAAGTGTCTCAACGCGCTGTTGCCCTGCAACGCAAGCCATGCCGCCCCTCTCCCATGTCTTCACCACCCTCTCTTCCCCTCCCCCCCTCCCTCATCTCCCCCTCCCCCCTTCCCCCATTCCCTCCTCCCCCCTCCCCCCTCCCCCTCCCTCTCCAGGTGCTGGTGCTGCACAACGTGTACGTGAACCTGGCGGGGCAGGTGTTCAACGAGACGCACCTCTTCGACCACAACGCCTGCTCCGTCACCCTCGCCACCGCCAACTTCCGCTACGCCTCTGGCCGCACGCGCGTGCGGCGGTTCAAAGAACTCGTGTCAATAGTTGACTGGTTCGCGTGGTCCGCCCGCGCCTACCTGCTGGAGCTCATCCCGCTCTTCGTGTCGCTCCGAAAGGTGCGCATGGGACCCCTGCCGCCACCCCCCTCGCCACCGTCACCCTCGCCACTGCTACCCTCGCCACCGCCCACTTCTGTGCATTGGGCGGCACGCGGGTCTGTCCGCGATTCAAGGAGCTGGTGGTGTCCACAGGGGTCTGGCTCGCTTGGTCCGCCGGAGCTGATCTCCTTGGTTCCGTGCGCTCATCCCTCTTGCTGCGCCGCTAAGTACTCGGCGTCTTGTGGGCCGCGCAGTGCTGCCTTGCTCCGCCAGGAGTCAAGTGCGTACCATGTGGTTTGTTCAACGTGGCTCATTCTTCCCACCCCGACCCCTCTCACTCTCCCCACCCTTCTCTCCCCTCCTCCCCCCTCCTCCTCCCCCCTCCCTCCCCCTCCCCCCCGCCCCTCCCTTCGTGGTGTGCCTTCCCATCACCCTCATTCTCTTCCCTTGCCTGCGTGTGGCCCTTCTCTCAGGTCAGGTGTCATCGCTGCCTCCTTGCTGTTTAAACCTTCCCACTCCCTCTCCTTTTCTCACTCCCTCTCCCACTCCCTCTCCCACTCCCTCTCCTTCTCTCACTCCCTCTCCCACTCTTACTCCCCCGCCCATTCCTTTCACCCCCTCTCCTACCCCACTCCTTTCACTCCCTCTCCTTCTCTCACTCCCTCTCCTTCTCTCACTCCCTCTCCCACTCCTCCTCCTTCTCTCACTCCCTCTCTCACTCCCACTCCTTCCCTTCACTCCCACTCCCACTCCCTCTCCTACTCCCTCTCCACCTCTCTCTCTCCCACTTCCTCCCCGATGCATTGAAGGTGCCGCTGGCTGTTGACGACATCCCCCTATCGGCCCATCCTCCCCTCAAGCCCTTCCCCCCTCCCCCCACCAGCTGCAACCAGCTATGTGGGGCGTGCTTGCAGCAGTGGGCCGCAGACACAAATGCAGCACATGGTGCCGCTGGGTGTGGAGGACATCCCCCCTCTCCCCCCTTCTCTGCCTTCCCTCCCTCGCACTCCCCCCTCCCCCCACCAGGTGCTGCCAGCCATGCGCGGCGTGCCCATAGCGGTGGGGCACCGCCTGACGCACCGGCGGCACCAGATGCAGCAGATGGTGGCGCTGGGCGCGGAGGACATCCTGGGCGTGCAGCTGGGGCGCATGAACGTGCACGTGCTGCAGGGCTCCGACCTCTTCTTTGCTGAGAAGCTCATCGTGGTATGTGCATGGGCAGTGGTGTGGCCTATGGCTTGTCGTGGCATTTGGGAGGAGTGAGGAGAGTTAGAGGGTTGAAGGGGTTGTTCCTGCTGGTGGTGTATGTGGTCGTGCCTGCAGCCATGCCTCTACCCATTTCGGTACCCCTGTTCGTGTTGACAGCCTAGCTGTTCGTGTTGACAGCCTAGCTGTTCGTGTTGACAGCCTAACTGTTCGCCACCTCTTTCTCCCTCTCTTTCTTGCCGTCTACTTGCTATGCGCCAATCCACTCCCCCCTTATCAACCCCAATCCAACGCCCGCCCCTCCGCCCTCCCACAGCCCCTGCATCAGCGCTGCGGCCAACCGTCTCGCGCCATGTGGCAGTACATCCGCAGCCGCCACTTCCTCCCCAAGAACGGCCTCCCCATGTTCTACTCCGGTGCGCGCCCCGTCTCCCTCTCATCACTTCTTCCTCTCATCGCTTCTTCCTCTCATCGCTTCTTCCTCTCATCGCTTCTTCCTCTCATCGCTTCTTCCTCTCATCGCTTCTACCTCTCATCGCTTCTTCCTCTCATCGCTTCTTCCTCTCATCGCTTCTTCCTCTGCTCGCCCCTGTTCTATGCTGGTGCGGCCCACCCCCCTCTCCCTCTTCTTTACTTCCAATTTTGCAAGCCCCACGCGCGACTGGACTCTGGTGAGCATGTGGCGCTGGCCATATTAGAGTGACTCTCACGCAACTCACCTCGTGATAGCCCCTGGATCCTTTTTTACATTGCTGCCCTCCGCTGGGCTTCCGCCTCCCCACTGAAGCATCGAGTGCGACACCACTTACTCGTTGCGCCAACCCAATCCTCGCATCACACCACTTACTCGTTGCGCCAACCCAATCCTCACATCACACTTCCCTCGCAAACAGCTCCTCCCTCTCCCCATTGCTTTCTACTCCCTCCCCCCCTCTCTCCCCCTGCCACACCTCCTCTCCTCAGACTACCGCCCCACAGCAGTAGCCGACAACCCGCCCGTGAAGGACTCGTTCACTCCTCGCAACGACTGGGTGGTGCTGCTGGGGTGGAAGAACTCCCGCCTCGAGCTGCTCCAGTCGCTACGCCTCAAGGAGCAGCTCGAGGAGCTCTTCCCCGCGGAGCGCGTGATAGTCTACCGCGAGGGCTCGCACACCATCCCGCGCCGCAAGGACCTGCTCAACCGCGCGCACCTCCTCGTGTCCCCGCACGACAACCTCCTGGCCGACATGGTCTTCATGCCGCCCGGCTCCTCCGTGCTGGAGATCCGCCCCGTGGACGACCCCGACCCCGTGTTCCACCTGCTGGCGGACGTGTGCGACATCGAGTACTATCTGACGTTCAGCGAGCCGGTGGGCAAGGAAAAGGGCAAGGGGAAGGCCGGGGAGGCAGTGCTAAGGGCCAGGGACCCCAAGCAGGTGGAGCGCCTGCTCAAGGAGATTTCCAAGAAGGTTCTGGCGAAGGTGGAGCAGCTAAAGCACGTGTGAGGGAGGGGATGGTGGCGGTGGAGGGGGGCGTGCTGCGAGACGTGGTGCCAGCAGGTGGCGCGAGCCTTGCAGGGTGGCATGGCATCTGCCAAGCTTGCCTGCCAGCTTGCTTTAGGCTTGCTTATGTGTGCTTGTCACCAACAGCTTCAGGAGTCAAAACTAGTGCCATGTGTTTAGTGCAATAATTCGAGGATAGAAGACGCTGGGCCTCGGAGTGTCCAAAGTTCGTGTAAAGTGTAAAATTATCATGGCTATAGCGGTAATGCCTGTGAAGTAAGCAAGTGAGTTGGAAGTCATGGAAATTGAGGTAAGCTTTGTGTAATGCAACTAGTTTTTGCATGGTTTGTAAACCGTAAACTCAGATTGATCGAATGTCAGGGTGTATAGTGTGAAATATTGGTGGTAGCAAGCCCACAACACCTGACTTGGGCTTTAAACAGTCGAACATCGGCATTTCTTCGCCACTCACGACGCTCCTCACGTCGTCCCACATCCCCCCATCCCCCCAGCCACAGCCGCGCTCCTCGCGTGCCATCCGTCATCCTCGCGCTCCGCCCGCCGCTCGCTGCGCTGTTGCCCCTTCATCCGCACGCTGCGATCCCTTGATCCATCGCGACCCTCCATCCGTCCACCGCGTTTGAGACACCCGGATCCGTCGGCTGCATCATTGCATCGCCGCTGGTGAACGCTCAAAGGCGGCTCTGCCACCCCACCCTACCATGTCGGACGACACGCCCGTTGCCACGTCAGCCGTGCTGATGTCAGCGTCGCGGCACATCGCGAAGAGCTGCGGCGCGGAGAATCGCGCGTTCCTGGAGTGCAAGCGCGCCGATGAGAACCCCGAGAAGTGTCTGCAGCAGGGGCAGCAGGTCACGGGTTGCGTGCTCACCCTGTGAGTGCACCGCCGCGCCGCCTCTGCCGCCTCACCCCCTCCACTCCCCGCTGAGTGTGCATCGCCGAACGCCTCGTGCCTTCCTTCACCATCCTCTCACCTCACCTCGCTTACAGCATGTGTCGCAGCAAAGCATTCTTACACCTCTCTCCACTTCCCCTGCTGCCTCTCTCTGCGCCACCTCCCAAGCTAGTCCGCTCATAATCCTGCTCTTGTTTCTCTCTGTGCCTGCCCCTCTCTCCCCACATTAACTGCATTCCTGCTGCCGCCCATATTTGCCCCTCTTGCAACTGCTCTCCTTCCTCCATGATGCCAGCTGACCCCTCAAATCCAAACTCTTCGATACCTTCTTGTTTTGCTTTGCCTTTGGTTAGGCGGCACTGCCTCAGCAGCAGGTTCCGTCACTTGCCACCTTTGTTCCACCCTCCCATCATCCGCACCCATTCTCCCTGCACATGTGCGTCGTCATGCCTCTGCTACGCCACTGACACATATCGTCATATTTCCCGCATTATCCCTATGGATCAGGAACAATGATATATGTCAATTTCATATGCAGATAAAATTGGACCTAGTTGCATATGCAAGTCTTATATTAAATGACGGTTACATTCCTCTCAAATCCACCCTCATTTCCCTGTGCCCCTTCTCCTTCCCCTCTTTCTTCCGCCCACCCTTTTCTCCCATGCGATGCCCCCAGGCTCAAGTCGTCGCATGGGCAGTATCCCAAGAGCATGGATGCGTACGTCAAGTGCATGGACTACTACAGACGCGAATTCAGCATGAGTCTCTTTCCTTCCTCCTCTCCCTTCGTTCAGCAATTCCCGAGGACTCTTGCCGCAGCGAGTTCTGTATGTGCCACAAGCAGCAGGAGAGATTGCTGCTTACTAAGCAGTGCTCATGAGTCGACTGAAATGCTGTTTTTCCCCATCCTTGTCTCACGTGCGGTGCCCCCAGGCTCAAGTCGTTGCATGGGCAGTGTCCCAAGAGCATGGATGCGTATGTCAAGTGCATGGACTACTACAGCAGCGAGTTCAGCATGTGCCGCAAGCAGCAGGAGAGATTCCTTGCGGATTGCCCCCTCTGAGACGCGCACAGACAGTGCATGCTTGGAGAATGATGCGACGCAGGCTAACCATTTCTCTGTGGAGACCCCCTCCATACAGTAACACTCATTTCTGTGCATTGATGTTTGCGGCTCGGTTGAATAGAGACCCAAGTTTCCTGATTGTTCTTGCCTACGTAGTTTTGGGGAATAATGAACCCCAACGGTTGCAAGATGGGATTGATGTACCATCATTTTCCCGGACGGGATGAAATACTGTACGACCACAATGTCAACCGCCCGGATAGAAGTGTCAACTTATATACATATTATTTCCAAGGTAACGGAATTTGTTAGAACGAGAGAATAACTAGAATAGGAAGATACAGGGCAATAAAGACTAGTGTGCTGAACCTTCTAAGGCACAAACCTGTGTAGTCTACAGTAACAACATAAGTTATGTTTGACACACCCCCTAGACTATATAGGGGCAGTGTTAAAGTGAGAACGAATAATGACTAGAAGTGGAAACCTAGAACAAATACTAGTTGGTTGTACTCACTAGAAGCATACCTCAGTCTAGCCTATAACTTCTACATAGATAATATGTATAAGTTGACACACCCCCTAGGCTAGACAAGGGGTGAAACTAAACAAGAAGCAAACACCTCAGGGCGGCACTACTAGTCCAACCACTGAGGCAGGGCTCTGGAGACCAGTCAGCAAGAATACAACCAAAACTGAAGCAAGCCAGGGTGGCACTACTAGTCCAGCCACTGGAGGTAAGGCCACAAGGCCAGTCTGACAAGCATATATAATAGAGAGTACACAATCAGGATCCTAACAGGGGAGCAGCTACAGGAACTAGACCAAGCTGTACACAGTGCCGCTGATGATCTTTAGGCGCAAGCGCCTTAGTAAAGATATCAGCTGTGTTGGCACCTGAGGCCAAGTGAACTACACGGGCCTGGCGACGCTGCTGTAGCTCGCGCAGGAGGAAGTACCGCAGCTGGATATGCTTCGCTCTGCCCTCAAGCCGAGGCTCCTGACACAGGAGTATCATGGCCCTGTTGTCAGCGTACAGGACCGGGGCAGAGCTAGGCCGCTCACCTAAGTCTGTGAGCAAGAAGGTCAGCCAGCGGAGCTCCTGTGCCGCCATGGCACCAGCGTAGATCTCAGCCTCACAGCTAGACTGAGCCACAGACGACGAGCGAGTGGATCTCCAAGAGATAGCACCCGAACCAAGGCTGAAACAATAGCCCTGCGACGACCTGAGCGTCTCAGCGTCGTCTGCCCAAGAAGCGTCTGTGTGCCCAGTAAGGACCACTGGCCTGCGTCCTCCTAGCACTAACCCCATGCCTGATGTACTAGCAAGATAACGCAAAACCCTCTTAGCGGCAGACCAGTGCTGAGGTCGGTGTCTGCCTGTAGCCACAAAGCGAGCCAGGATGCTGAGAGGGTATGCGAGATCTGGGCGAGTGCAAGTCATCAGGTACATGAGGCAACCCACCAGCTCTGCGTAGGGGCCACTGGGCTCTACTGGCTCCTCAGGAACCGGAGCAGAGAGCCCATGGTCTACGGGTAGAGGTGTGGGCTGTGCAGAGGAGAACTGAAGACCGAACCTCTGAAGGACCTGACGCACCAAGTGTGACTGGGTCAGAGTGATGGTGCGTGCTGCTCTGTCCCTAGAGATCTGCAGGCCAAGATAGCGACGCAGCTCTCCAAGGTCAGTGCAGGTGTGTCTCTTCAGCAGCTCAGCCTTCACAGAGGCCAGTGCGTCCCTGTCAGGAGTAGCGAAGACCAGGTCGTCTACGTAGACAAGGATGTAGAACGGAGTCTGGCCGGAACGCACAAACAGTGAAGGGTCAGCAGAGGACGGAAAGAACTGCAGGTCTGCTAACGTGGCACGTAGCGTGTCGTGCCACTCGCGGGGAGCCTGACGCAGGCCGTAGACCGGGCGCCTGAGAAGCCACTGGGTCCCAGGAGGGAAGGTACCAGTGAAGCCCTGTGGTCGGCACAGGTAGACCTGCTCGTGTAGGCTGCCCTGAAGAAAGCCAGTAGAGAAGTCGAGGGAGTGAAGCTCGTAGTCACGCTGTGCTGCTACATGTAGCAACGCCCGAAGATTGGTCATCTTCGGGGTCGGGGCGAACGTCTGGAAGAAGTCAACCCCCTCGCGCTGACTGAAACCTCTGGCCACGTAGCGCGCCTTGAAGACAGGCGGCTCTCCAGGGGGACGCTTCACCTTGAAGAGCCACCGACCATCGACTACGTTCACCCCAGGCGGGGGAACTGCGTCGACGTAAGTGCCGGTGGACCTCCAAGATGCCATCTCCTGCTCCATGGCAGCTATCCACTGAGAGGCCCAAGGTCCCGAGGTGGCCTCAGCGTAGGTGCGAGGGGTCGGGATGTCGAAGGCGTCTGGGTCACCCTCAGGGACTAACAGCATGGAGCAGAGATGGGGAGCAACCTCGGAAAGGAAAGCCAGCTCGTACTGCCTGTCCTCTAGGACGTCACTGCCAAGGGCAGGAGCACCCCCGACGGACGGAGGACGGGCAGGGTCAGAGACCAGAGCGGTAGCGTAGTCAAGGCGGCGGGTAGAGGCGAAGTCAGCGACAGCAGCGACAAGCGCGTCAAGGCGCGAGACAGGAACAGCAGGGTCGGTAACAAGAGAGGCAAGGACCCGAGGGACAAGGGGACGAGCAGCACGGAGGTAGTCAGAGAACGGAGGAGGTGCAACAGCAAGGGACGAAGGAGGAGGGGACGGGAGGAGGGGAGGACGAGACGAGAGGGAACGGAGCAACATAGGGTGGGTGGGCAGGACAGGAGAGACGGGACGAGCACGGGAGGGACGGCGAGCCCAAACGTGAGACGGAGGTGTAGGGTCAGGGGACAGCGGAGGAGACACAGGAGGGGAACGAGGAGGAAGACGGGTCGGAGACGAGTCCGGCGGCGGGAACACAGGACCGTAGACAGGAAGGTCAGCAGGAGGTGGGGGAGACACCGGCGCGCAGTCCAAGGAGGGAAGGCCGAGCAGGCGGAGAGCGGAGACCGGCGGCGACGGCTGCTGCGGCGGCGACGACGGCTGGGCCGGAACTCTCGGACCAGCAGAGGCAGAACGACCGTCGGCAGAACACTCAACAGCAGCACCCCCGGAACCAACACCCCAAGAGCGAGAACCCCCTCCAACACCAGCGGCACCCCAAGAAGCCGCAGGACGAACACCCTCCTCCACACCAGCACCCCCAGGGGCCAAGAGCGGCGGCGGCAGTGGCTGCGACGGCTGCGGCGGCAGCGACAGCGGCGACGGCTGCGGCAGCGACGACGACGGCGGCGGCAGTGGGGTCGGCGACTGCGACAGTGGGGGCGGAGGCACCGGGGAAGGGGGACGCGGCAAGGACGGACCGGGGGTACCACCAGAGTCAGCAGACTCCTCAACGGGGACAACCGACGGGAGGGGAGTGACGTGAGAGACACCAGACGGGGCAGGACGGGGCGGGAGAGGGGCAGGGGCTACCGGGGGAGAGGGAGCAAGGAACAGGGGGGGTGCAACTGGGAGACCTCAGTGAGGGAAGCGGCGGTAGAAGGAGACGGACTCGTCAAAGGTGACGTCACGAGAGTGCAGGAAGCGGTGAGACGGCGGGTGATAGAAGAGCCAGTCAGACGAGTCCAGGGGGAAACCGAGGAAGACACAGGGGACAGTGCGGGCAGTGAGCTTGTCCATGCCAGAGGCACGAACGTGAGCAAGGCAGCCCCAAACGTGGAACGCAGACGCGTCACCGGGGGACCCGGTCCAAAGGAGGGTCGGCGAAACCTGCGGCCGCTGGGAGCGTGGCCACAGGTTAAGCTGGTGAGCAGCGTAGCGAACAGCGAACGGCCACAGAAAATGGGGGGCATCGGCATGGATCATGGATGTACGGGCGACCTCCATGACCAAGCCGATGCGGCGCTCAGCAACCCCATTCTGCTGTGGCGAGTCCGGCAACGTGTACGACTGGGTGATGCCCTCCGCACGACAGAACTGTCCAAGCCGACCAGAGGCGAACTCGCCGCCACGGTCGGAGTGGAGACACAACACGGGGAGACCGCGGTGGAGACGCGCATCCATAACCCACGGGAGAAGAACGTCGGGCACGTCGGCCTTCCGCTCGAGGGGAAACACCGTGGTGTAGCGCGTGTAGTCGTCGACGAGCACAAGGAAGTAGCGCTCACCGCGCGGTCCGGGGACGGGGGCAGGGCCCCAAACGTCCAGGTGCAGGGTCTGAAGGGGGGCAGTAGCAGGACGCAGCGAGGAGGAGTGAGGAGCACGGCGGAGCCGACCCTCGACGCAAGGCGTGCACGGTGGCGCAGTCGAGGGAGGAAGGGCAGGGAGCGACTCGGGGAGACCTAAGACAAGGCCGTGCTGGGACATGTGACGCAGACGCGGGAGAGCAGGGTGACCTAAGCGGTGGTGCCAGAGAAGGGACGGGTGAGTGAGGGACCGACACGAGCAAGCTGCAGCGACCTGGGAGGACGCACCAACCGGGGGGGAAGCGGTGTCTAGGGTAAACAGACCGGACACCGGGTCCCGGGGGAACGTCGCAAGGGGGGAACCTGAGACAGCCTCAGAACAGACAGCGAACCGCTCGTGCCCGGGGAACGTGGTGGTGACGCCGAGGTCCTGGAGACAGCCGACACCAACCAGGTTCCGCGAGAACGAGGGAACGTGGAGGCCAGTAAGGGAGCCCGAGGGAACTGCCGGACAGGGAAGGGACGTAGAACTGCGCGCGACGACAGGACCCACAGAGGGGTCAGCGAGAGAGACAACAGCAGGTGCAGCAAGCGACGTGAGCGTGGAACGGTCGCGGAAGAAGCAGGCAGAAGCACCGGAGTCGAGAGTGAAGGACAGCGACGTAGTGGCGGAGGCTGGGGACGGAGCCGGTGCAGCGACTAGACTAGGCAACCTAGGCAGTCCTACGCCTGACGCAGCAGGGGAGGCTAAGCTACACAATGGTGCAACACCTAAACTAGAGTACACAGGGTAATAAGATCCAGCAAAACTAGAAGCGTCAGAATACAAAGCATGCAAAGCAGCACCTAGCTGATCCATGTCTAACTCAAAGATCGGCACGCCCTGGCGGAGCAGGCTGTGCCAGTCGGGGAGGTCCGGGGCCGGGCCAAAGCGACGACGAAAGAGATCGTCGAGGCGGCAGAAACAGCGGGCAGTCGGGTGCGGGCGGCGGCACAGAGTGCCGCGAAGAGGCCCGGTCTGAAGCTGGTACTGGCAGGTGACAGCACCGGAGCCGCCGGTAGACGCCAAGCTGC